TTTTTATTTTTTACTTTTTTTTATTTATCAATATTTCCAAATTTGATTACAAAAATGAAATTGGCATTTTAGGAAATACTTTTCTGCCTGAGTTTGAATACTTACGAACAAATCAGTCTGGCCTCATAATCATTCACATCTAAGGGAGAGAACCTGACTTTAAAGCTGGATTTCTTGCCAGCCTGTATTGTTCCATATTCTGGTTCTATGGTGAAGGGGACATAACTGCTGTCAGCAAGATCCATGCGTGACTCTGGTCGTTCTGCCTCTGACATGAATGTTACAGCTCGCTGGAAGGTGGGCATGTTCTCCATTACCACCTGCCAACTGTAGTCCATCTGGACAGCACCCTTGTTACTCAGTGTAAAACTGCAAAACATTACAACAAATCACTCAAATTCTGAAATTACAAGCTTCAATATAACAAAACCAAATTTTCACCTAAAAAATGCCTAACTCAAACTTTCAACATCAAATTTGTATCTCATCTATGTAAAACCTCAATATAAGGCGACAACTTTTGTAGATTTCAGAACAAAGACTCCCAACCTTGTAGATTTGATTGTGACCATTGCGAGTTTGGTGGTTGAAGTTTAGTGCCATGTTTTTTGAGGAACACAGTGTTGATTTATGGACTTACTCATAGACCCTTGTCTGGAACATAAGAGTGTCTCGGAAGCTAACAGCCTCTATCTTGCATTTGTATTTGCTGAAGTCACACAGAGCTGTTACAAGTAGGTCCACCTGGCGAGCACTGTCAGGCACTTCTGTAAACACAGGCTCTGCCTCTGTTTCAATCACCTTCTTTTTGGCTGGTCTTGATGATAGTGGTGCCTTGTTACCACTGAAACAAACAAATGTTTACATGCTACAGTGTCACCTTTTGTATAAAATGATTGTGAACTGACTGTTATACACAGTTAGCTAGCACACAGTTTTGCCATAATACACACACTTTGGTATTGCAATGATTGACCTTTAACCCCATGTGGCCATGACTACTGACTGTGGTTTATGATAGGTTAGGTATCTTAACCATTTGCAAGTCATAAACTCTCTTTGACCAAACTGTGAATTCATGATTAATATAATGATGTCATGACATTGTGATGTTGTACTAAATACACCAGACATG